TGGGCTAAGCTTCTGCCTTCAGCTCAGGCCATGAGCTCAGGGTCCTGGGATCGACACCCACGCCAGGCTCTCTGCTCAGCGGGGAGCCTGCTTCCCCCGCTCTCTCTCCCTGCCTCTCTGCCTACTTGTGATCTCTCTCTCTGTCGAATAAATAAATAAAATCTTGTAAAAAAAAAAAAAACTTGCAGTTACGTTTAGAGGATTCTCAGAGTTTATTAAACTTGGAAAATAACATCCAGAGAAAAAGAGAAAAAAGCCTAGATTCACTTAAAGATGAAAGACTCTAATATGAAGAACTGTTACTTTGAGTAGTTCACAAAACAATTCATTGGAATACAGAAAGACAACATTGAGACAAAAATGTATTTATTTTTTCTCATTCCTTTTAAATTTCTGTATTGGAGTATTTTAATGTATATGTATTATAATGTATCTATAATGTAATGTATAAAATATATATACAAAGTAGTACATGTATATAACCTATAAATACATATACATATTTTGGGACACATGCTCAAATGTTTTCTTTTATTACAGATAAGAATGTGTGAGTAAAAAATTGATTTAGAGGGTTAAGTACATTTCTTTATCAGAAGTGTGTTTTAGGGTGTTTGTGGGGGCGGCAGGACTGGTGTAAGTAGAAGCACAAGGGATTCAATTAAATCCACTCATTTTATTTTAAAATAACAATAATTGATTGTATAACATTCATTCATATAAAAAAATTTCTGATCATGTCCTATGTAATAAACATTGACCTAGGCTCTGAGGATATGATGGAAAATCTGAACAGTCACAATCCTTGACTTTATGGTAAAACATAGTTTAGTGGAGAAAGGCAGTTGTCAATCAAATAATAATACATTTAAATATCTCATCATAGGGGCGCCTGGGTGGCTCAGTGGGTTAAAGCCTCTGCCTTCAGCTCAGGTCATGATCTCAGGGTCCTGGGATCGAGCCCCGCATGGGGCTCTCTGCTCAGCAGGGAGCCTGCTTCCCCTCCTCTCTCTGCCTGTCTTTCTGCCTACTTGTGATCTCTCTCTGTCAAATAAATAAATAAAATATTTTTTAAAAATATCTCATCATAAATTTACACATATTAGGAAGGAAAAATACAGCAGGCTGGCTATAAGGGGCCACCAGAAAAGAAATCAGGGCACTTTCTCTATTCTGGGGCTATTGAGAAAGGTTACCTTGAGGAAGTGACAGTTAACCTGAGGCCTGTGAGATTGAGTGGTTGACTTGTGAAGAGAGAGAGTGGCCCAGGTGGAGGGAGAGCATATGTGAGAGCCCTGAGGGTACACATGGTGAGTGAGGGCCAGTGCCACACAGGCACAGGTTCTCATACATCAGAGAACCTTCGGAGATGGATCGGCCTGACAGAGAGTCAGAGTGCAAGCTAAATGACCCCAGGAGCTCCATCCTCTTTTGCTTTCAGGGGAAAAAAAAATCACAAACTAGTTGAAGGTACCAGAGGGCCACAGGAGACAAGAAGGGACTGGCTGGATGGCTAAGCACAACTGGAACACTGTGCTCTACCCCAGCAGCATGTCCAGAAACCTCAGGTAATACTCTCTGTGTGGCCGTCTAGAAAGGTAACTGTTAAGATTAAAGGGCAGCGTGTCTTTCAGGCCTGAGCTTTCCATGTGAACCTTTCTGTTTGGATTGCCAAGAGAATTTTATGAGCAGTGCCCAGGTAGAGGGCCTAGTAATGCGCTGAAATCATGGATTTCCCTGAGTTATTTGAAACCAGAGGATGTGGTATCCTCTGCAAAAGCAGAGGGTCTGGAGGAAAGGTAAATGAGGCAGGCTGAAGGGTAATTGCGGGAAATGGGGGCGTGGCCCCAAACAGCAGAGGAGCTAAGTGGAAGAGCAGTATTTGTCGGTCCACTGTCATTGTGCCTACTAATCAGAGAAGAGGGGCGAGGACAAGGGAGGCCAGGGTTGGACCTTGAGCATGAAAAAAGAGCGAGCGGGCCAGGGAGCGCTCTAGACACGCGAGGACCGGAGGCCCCGGGGCCGAGTCTCCAGTTCCAAGAAGGGGGCACAAGGAGGCGGCGCGGGCCCCGCCCCCTTCCCTGGCGGGCGCGGGCGCGAGACGCTGCGCGGCGGCGGTGGCGGGCGCGAGCGGCAGCTGTCAGGCCACCGAGGTCCGAGCTGCTCTAGGTGCCTCACCGAGGACGAGGAGGCAGCGGGAGCGGTGACCGTGTCACTGAGGAGCCGGACTGCGGGCACGCAGAGCTGACCTGCCTGGTACCCGCGGCCCCCTCCCATCTCTCTCCCATTGTATTGGGTAAGGTGCGGGTGCGTGGGCAGGAAGAGGGGCTAGCGGCCAGTGGACGCGGGAGGCCGGGAGGTGGGGGCCCTGTGGGAAGAAGGAGAAAAGGAGGTCTAGGTGACCCCCCCCCAGGCATTTGCACCTTGGGAAAGAGGGCCGGGGACCGGCGGGGGGGGGAGGGGGGGGGGGGGGGGGGAAGGTGACGATGGAGGGGGGCGTTGCTGAGTAATTCCGAGCGGCTGCCAAAGCCCCGCAGATAGATGCACGGCTCCATGGGGAACGGGTGTGGCTCAGTGCGCATGCGCCACAGCCGCTTGTTCTGAGAGATGTGAATGAGGTGGGATGACCCGGGTCCGAGGTAGTTGGAACTGTGCGTAACATCTCACTTTCTAGATCCCCAGCAGTGACCTGTCCTGGAGATGACAGCATTCCCAATCTCCTAAGGAAGATTCTTTCCCCTGTGCTCTACTCCATGTCACCCAAACCTCACTAGCTGTTTTCTGGCAGTCTATTTGGGAAGAAGTGGCCCTGGGACAGGGCCAAATTGCTATCTAGTGTGCCTTCGGGCTTATAGCCCTAGAGTTGCTGTTGTGAGGAGTGAAAAATTAGAGGTGAAATTCCACATTGAACCCTTCTGGTTGCATATAGAATATAAATATGGTCATAAATGTGGGAATAGCGTTTCAGAGGCGTGACAGCGTGGCATTTGGACTCAGAGCAGGAATGTAGCTGATAGCTTGTTTGCTCTACACAATGAATTCAGTGTGTCAGAGGGCTTTCCCCGCTACAGAACCCTCCCCCATCCCACGAACAAGCATCAGGTTGTACTGGAAACAACCTACACCATTTAAGGTAGAGGGTCTCAAAGATGCAATCATTTCTTATTTGTATTGATTTTTACGTAAGTTAAAGAAAGCCCTGCCCAGTTCTCCAGTACAGTATTTTCCAAATATTGTGCCAGGAATCACAGTGAGTTGGGTAGCCCAACCAGTGTGTCACCAAGATAGGCTTTCCCTGTAGCTTCAACCATGGCTCCTCCCCTGTGCAGATTACCACCAGGGCCACTCTCATCCACTGCCTCGCTCTCCCCTGCTGCTCTTCCCCTACCCCCAGCCCTGCAGTACCACATCCCTCTCAACACTTACTCCCAAACAAACTGTCCTATGGATTTGAGCATCATTCCACCCATGGCAACTGAACTGATGCCAGTTTGCTTTTCTATTTCTCTTCTCTCCATCATCACACTAAAATGTTCTGTTTTCAAAGCTTCAACCTCTTTCTCGTCATTGTACTGCTTCCTTCCACACTCCCCCCCCCACACACACTCCTAAGCATCCCCAAAGAAATACAATAATTTTAATAAGCTGTGTGGATGCAGGCACAGCAGATTCAAAAGGTTTCAAATGTGTTGAAGAACAAAGAAAACTAGGGAATATCGGTTATGTGAATTTCTAATTTACCTTATTGTCTGAGACTTAGACTCTAACTGAAGAAAAAAGTGAATATACTAGTCTTTGAAAATTCTTGTTAATTGTGGGAAGTGGGATAAGAAAGGGGAATTGCATCTCTAGGATATTTGAGTTGTTTAAAGGTAGATCTTTCTCTGAATAGCACTAAAATTAGAGTAAACATTTTACTCAAAATCCTACACTGATATGGGACGTAAACAGGATGCATAAAGGATTTGACTTTCCATTAAATGTACTTAGGGTTATCAAAGAATTCCATTGCCTCCTTAATGCTATCTTCTTTTAAGGTTTGACTTTAATCTGGCATATTTTGGGGAAGAAAAAAATTTTCAATTTGCTTTCATACTATGCTAGTCCTTTTTGAGTATGTACTAAAGGATATCACACTTATTTTCAAGTAATGATAATGACGATGGGAATGGCAGTATCCACTGAAAACATAATGTGGAGATAATTATACTGCTCTTATATTTGGTGGGGATGGAGAAATTTATGTATTCATCTTAAAAATGTAGGGGAGGGGGAAGGAAACTAGCACATTGCCACTGACTTTCAACAGGTGAAATTCCTGTTAAGTCCCATCTAGAAAGTGAGCCAGATAAGTCCATAACTTCTTCTCTTTAGTCACAAGTAAATAATAGTATTAGGGCATCTTACAGAACTGCAGATCTCTTGTACCTTGGCGTTTATTCAGAGGCATTAGTTTTGAGCACCCACCTAAACAATTAGTAAGCAAATATTATTGATTATCCATGTGAGGGATACACTTGCTGCATGCTGGAAGGGCTTCAAAGATGTATACAAACAGGTTTTACCATCCAGGAATTTAAAATTTGGTTGTGTAGGAAAGACATACTTAGGGGGGAAAAAGGTTTTTAAACAAAACAAGACAGTATAACGATACCATTTCAACTGTAAATCATGAGATCTGAAGCTTATATGTTAATTCATAAATTCCTTGAGGGTAAGACCTTGCCTTAAAAATGTATGCATTTTCAACAGTGTCTACACCCAATGGGTGCTCAAATGATGAAGCTTTGCAAAGGAGGTAGGGAGAAACCTGTGGCAGGGAAAGAAGAGCCAGGAAGTTTTCACAGTAGATAAGATAGATGAAAGATTAGATGTGGGCCAAAGCAAGGATGGTTGCAGAGGACTGGGAAAGAATAGGAAAGAAGAGGATTTAGTGACTGAAGGCAAGGAGACCTGTCTAAAGTGTATTCAATTTTACTTTCAGGAAACAAATGGGAGTTGGAGACAGTGAAGGAGAGCAGAGGGTTACCTTGGTAAGGACAGAGCACAATAGGCACTCAAATGTTTTCTCAGTAATCAGTAGCAGGATTGGACAAGAAGATCCTTTCGCCCCTCCAATGCTGAGATTCTGTGGTGTATGAAGATACTCAAAATTGTTGGGGAACAAAGCCCTCTCAGATATTGAAGAAAGGGAAAAGGAAGAATTGTGATCTTCTTACTGGCAAGCCTTTTCTGAGAAGGGTTAATACTGAGTCACAAGGCCCCCAACAGTGAATGAAAAGAGGTGGAAGAGCAAGAGGAACAAAAATCTCAAATCAAAAATTTCAACACATGCTTACAAATCTTCACAAACTTCATAAGTTATTCATTTTCCCCTAAATCCTGTGATTTAAGTAAGGCAGGTATTATCAGCTCTGTATTTATATAGGAAGATATTGGAAAAAAAGCAAGATTAAATAACCTGCTCAAGTTCACAAAATAAATGAATGGCATAGTATAGTAGTGATGAAGACTTTTGTTTCCTGATTGCTGCCGACCCAGTGCACTTGACATGGAGCCACACTGTTTTTCCTTCCTTTTCCCTGGTATAGAGCCTATATACCCAGAAGTTGTATGTGCAAATGACCAAATAGGGAATGCACAAACAACTGCAGCATTATCTCAGATGGTTATTAATACTTCGTCATTATTCCTGAGTTGAGTATTTGGTTTCCACATTCACTCAGTCCTTGATGCATCATTTGATTTTATCCACAGCCGGGAAAGTAGGGTTAGTGAGTTGTTTAATGAGGTGAACAACTGTTTGCCAGGAACTTAAGGAAGATCATTCGGCACAGGCCCTTAATACTACCAATACTGTTACCCAAGTTTGTACTCCCTCTGTTCCTTTTTTAAATGAGCAGTCTGCAAAATTATCCTATAGACCAGTATAAAGAATAAAGAAGTGTGCTAATGTTTGTTTCATCTCCATTTAAAGAAATGTTTGTTACTTGAGCTAGTTCCAAAGACAGCAATTTGAGAGCAGGAAAAAGGACAAAAATCAGTAATGGTAGAAAACTCAAAAATTTTTTGGAGTAGATATAGACCAAGAAAGAGGATAAACCCTATCAATTTAGAAGACATTATTTAAATTCATAATTACTGATTTAGGTCTCTAATGAATTCCTTATTATATGCTTTATCTATATTTGAAAAAAATCACAAGATTATTAGGCAATAGAGATTTCTTACAGTCTTCTTTATTCCTCAGTAAGAAAGAATACTCAACAAATCTAAGAACTGTTTTTCTCTTTAGAGCAGCACTTTTGATGCTGCTTAAATAACATTCTTACCATAATTAACTATAATGTTAAGTGAAGTTTTGTTTTAATTTAATAAAGCCAGCTAAATACTAAAACCTGTGTTCGAGACAGATGATCAAAATTAATGAGTAAAATAATTAGCCAAGAGAATACATTGTAAACAGGGAATCTCCAAACATAATTATCTTGTCTCTGATCTTGTGGAATCAATTTCAGAGACAACCTCAAGGCAGATTGGTGAATGCATTAACAACTTGCTTGGAGATAGGAACATTGGTAGACATAAAGGGAAGGAGTTTCATCTCTGACTTAGGATTTCAACACGTCTTGGACTCCTCTGTGCTTTCCCTTTCCTGAATATTACCTATTGTCAATATCATCTACTTTCTTTTTTTTTAAGATTTTATTTATTTATTTGACAGAGATCACAAGTAGGCAGAGAGGCAGGCAGAGGGGGGCGGGGGGAGGCAGGCTCCCTGTGTGGGATTCAATCCCAGGACCCTGGGATCATGACCTGAGCCGAAGGCAGAGGCTTTAACCCACTGAGCCACCCAGATGCCCCTCGTCTACTTTCTTTGACTATATTTACTTTGAATGAAGAGTTCAATGGAGGGAAAATATTAAACTTTAAAAATCATATGAAGTACACTCATTAGGACAAGTTAAAGTTTTTGTAATAATATTATTTTGTCCATGTTAAGCATTTGTAGCCTTTTGAACTCTTGAGTATATTTGTGAAAAGCATCCTCTACAGGTAAGTTGAGGTGGGTCTGTTTCTTTCCTGACTTGAGTAGATTTATATATAGCCTTAACTTTGTTTTATTATAGATATTTAATAATAATGTTTCCCAATCCATTTTCTAGAACCCTAAAAAGAAAGAATAAAACAACAACAAGGAAAAGAAAGGACTAAAATTGTGGCAACGACCCAACTGGGTAGGTATATATATATTTTTTTTCATTTGATCTCTTAAAAAGGAATATTTAGTACACATACACCAATATAATACTAAGGACTAATGAGGCTTTTTCAAATTACATTTTGAATGTGTGTGCTTCCAGAAGCTCTTTTGCATGTGCTCTTTTGATTAGCAATTGGTTTTCATCTCTTTGGGTCTCTTGCATAAATAACACCCAATTAGCATCATCATTGTTTTGTTCCCACAATGGACCTAGTGTGAAAGTACTTAACAAAATCCAGTACCAGTTAGTTGTTCAGCAAACATTTTATCTTTTTATTTTAAGCTGCATTTTAGATATTCCATGTACAGACATGTTGTGAAGGTAACAATAAGGGTACTACATAGTTATTAGCACTTTAAAGTTTACAGTCTATTTTCATTAGTGCCATTATGGAATTAGAACTAAAATCTAAAAATTAATAACCTATTTAAGATTTTTTTCCTTACTGATAGCTGTTATAATGATACCAGTCAACAATCATCAATTTACATGTCATTGTTCTGTGAAGAAAAAATTCTGGGAGATCCTTTATTTGTGCCAGTATCCATATCAATGCAAATATAATGAAGCAAACTCCTGAAGAAACTTGACCTTTATCTCTCTTCCAAGTTCTGGTGTCCAGTTTAATTGTAGCTCCAAACTCTACTGACAGAATTAAAATTTCAACTTATACAGCTTTCTCTCTCAATAATTCTTGGGTCCATCATGAATAGAATTCAAACTCCAAATCAATTTTGTACTATTTGCCTCTTGTTTGGAACTGTCAAACTAGAAACCAATAATATGGTTCCACATGTGAGGGGTATTCCTGTTTTAGGCTCTCTCCTCTAGAATAGGGTCAGAACTGAACCAAATTATAGCACCATCTGCTAGTCCATTTACCCATGGCATTCAGCCATTTTCCTGGCACAGGCGAAAGACCTCAGAAAAACAAGACCTATTTTCCCTTGTGCACAAACGGATTCTATTCCTTCTGCTGTACTATCTAGTTAGTGAGCATGAATCAAGAGAGATTAAATTAGTAGGCCATCAAATTCAGAGAATTTTCTATGAAGCTGATTTCGGTTTCAGGTTTAACTGTTTTCCCTCCTACTTTTTCTTTTATTTTCAGGTTCTCTTGGTTATAAACTCCTCCCCATCTGGTGCTGCAACAATGAGTGGGAAATCCTTGCTCTTAAAGGTTATTCTCTTGGGTGATGGTGGAGTTGGGAAAAGCTCACTTATGAACCGTTATGTAACCAATAAATTTGACTCCCAGGCTTTTCACACCATAGGGGTAGAGTTCTTAAATCGAGATCTGGAGGTAGATGGACGTTTTGTAACTCTCCAGATCTGGGACACTGCAGGGCAGGAGCGTTTCAAGAGCCTTAGGACACCCTTCTACAGGGGAGCAGACTGCTGCCTCTTGACCTTCAGCGTGGATGACCGACAGAGCTTTGAGAACCTTGGTAACTGGCAGAAAGAATTCATCTACTATGCAGATGTGAAAGACCCTGAGCACTTCCCCTTTGTAGTTCTAGGTAACAAGGTAGACAAAGAGGATAGGCAAGTGACTACTGAGGAGGCACAAGCCTGGTGCATGGAGAATGGGGATTACCCTTATCTAGAAACAAGTGCCAAAGATGATACTAATGTGACAGTGGCCTTTGAAGAAGCTGTCAGGCAGGTGTTGGCTGTAGAGGAACAGCTGGAACATTGCATGTTGGGTCACACTATTGACTTGAACAGTGGCTCCAAAGCAGGATCCTCATGCTGCTAAAAGCAGGCAGCCTTTTAAAAGTGTGCCACAAATTGTTCAGTCAATAGTGTCAGAATAACTGTGCCCCTCTGAGAGGGCACACACACAAAAGGGTAAGAGAGAAGGTTGTGATTGTGTATCAGGGCCTTTCAAATTGAGGTTGTAAGAGCAAGTAAAAAAAAGAAAAAAGAAAAAAGCTTTACCAAGCCAAGTGTATTTTGCGTGATTTCTGCTGTTTCCTTCTTGTGTGTATCAGGACATTTCAGAAAGCTTCAGTCCTGAGAGATATAAATATTTTCAAATCCAGTTTAAACTTAGAACCCAGCAGCATGAAGGAGTTAAAGAGCTACAGATATCCCTTAAAGTGTTCCATTAGTCAACTAACAAATGTCACCTTGGACTCTTGGCAAGCAGTTTCTGACATTTCTGCTAAAGGAAGAAAAAATAAGACTGAGCTGTATTACAATGAAAAAATAATAATGCAAACAAGGATATCCTAAGCTTCAATTATAAAAGGGTTGTGATAATTAGGCATATAAGAGTATAATGACATACACTGCCTTGTTTGAATCCTTATATATGGTTTGCTTCCATTTGAGCTTTTCAAAAAAATTATCTCAATAAGAGGTACACTGATGACACTGGAAATTGACTATACTCTTTGTGTTTGAAGTAACAGGGCATTAGTGAATGGATTATGCTTAAATATGCCAACCACCCTTGCAAATAAATGTTTGGTCTGCTTTTACTTCATAAGTCTACTTTTGCTGTATAGGGATGTTGCTTCTCTGACAACCTCTTATCAATTTAGCAATGCTGCTTAGTATATGGCTTTGGATACAGTGCTCTCTGCTCATAATTTTGATGGCCCTTTGTTCCACTGCGCTCTGCTCTCAGAGAAATCTTCAGAAAAGATTGGGGGATGATGGGCTTTTCTCACAAGGTTCCTTAACACAAATATTTATTATAGGAACTAATTATAGGAACTAATATCTTGTATGTTGCACTGTATGTTCAACTGGCCAATCTAAGACACTGAAAGTAGCAAGAGAGCAGACTTTAACCCAATGATAGACTGAATTTCTCATAGAGTTGTCCAACAGTGGAATGGACTGCCTTAATAATGAACTCCCTTCCAATGAAAATATTCAAGAAGATACTAGATGAGCACCTGTTAAAATACCATAAAAAGAATTTCTGTCCTGGCTAGATATTTGGTTTAAGGTCCCTTCTAGCTCTAAGTTCTATGAACCTGCAAGTTACAAAATATGTTTCAGTGCCAGGATATCACTGGATGTTTCTTCAGACAACAGCTAAGACTTTGGAGAGGGACTTTTAAAATTCTCAAACTATTCTGGGATCAGCATTTAATAGCAATTACACAGCTCTTTCTTTTGCACCATAGCAGGATAAATTCTTGAGCTTTGAGTAGTCATTACGTACCCTGGTATAAATATCCTAAAAATACCATATTAAAATACAAAAATGGTTTATCAAATTTTTATTACCATGACTGCTAGCTATATACTGTATTACAAATATGCAGTCTGGTTCTTGTTGGTTGAACTGTTTGTCCTGCAAAGCTTTAAATCCGTACTTTTAAAATATCTATGTTAAAAAATAGTGACCCAAGGTAGTAAAGGACAGTTAGAAGTGACTCCCCCCCCCAAAAGAGACAGAGGCCGGGGAAGAAGCAGGAGCTTTCACAGGAATATAGCCTAGAACTCTCCATTGTAGCCACATATGGAATCAGCCTTACACATGGGACCTTATGTGCTTTAAGAGCTCTGGGACTTTTTGGCTACATAGACAAGTAGAAGACAGTATCTCATCCCAGTCATCCTCAATATTTCCCATTTAAATATAGTCCTGACCCCATTGTCAAAGTAATTTCAATGCCAGAAGTCAAAGCCAGAACTGGGACCCCACAGCTCTTAAGTATTGGTCCCTATCCTGCCTATGCCTATAGCCAGCCACACTGGTTTCCAAGTTCTATGATTGTTTTGCTACAATCATGTTAGGGTAAAAATCTGGACATCAGAACTGTTAAAAGTTAATTGTTTTTAAGTGCATGAGACCTGGGGCCTTCTCTTTCTACTTGCATTCTGCTTATAATAGTTCTATTTGTAGATCTCAGGCTTACATGAAGACCTCCATCCACTCACAAAAGTACTTGTCATTATTAGAATGGCATGTGGTCATTTAAGTAAAAAAATTACATGGGTATCCTATTCATAGACCTCCTGTCTAACCAAGGCAAGTGTTAATTTTAATGACAGGTCATCTGAAGCCCCTTTCCTCTTATCCATACCAGTTTTCTCTGCCAAATCACTACACAATATCCTAATGAAAACAGTTAACATTAAATGACAAAAAACAGTGGCATTTTTGGTGAGTAACACTCAGTGGGGTGCTGACATAAGTTTGGGTAAGATTATAAAACACCAAAGGCTGAAATCTGTGAGTACCAGGAACTGTGCTTATAGGCTTAGAAATTATATACACTAGAATGTGCAGTGCAATATTTTCGAAAGTTTTTTTTTAATGAACACACTGGATTTTTTGAATAAGATATTTCTAACTGGAGCTATACTGTTTTTCGACAGTCCATTAAAACATCATAAAGAATATTTATTTAGTTTATTGTCATGTATTGAGCTAAATTTAAGGGGCCTCAGATTCCATATGTCTTCAGTGGATTGATGAATTTCAGGTTAATTTGTGCCTGCCTCAGCCATCTCTACTTTACCTTGAGGTGTTCCACAATCCTCTTGTTGCAGGTGCTGCTAAAAACTCAAAATTGTGTATCAGATATTTTGTTTCAGCTGTAAAAAAAAAATCATCTGTGTTAAAGTGAATAAAAAGTGCATTTTGAATAACCAGTATGCAATGTTTGTGCTTCTTCTCTCTCTTTCTCTTTTTGAGCAACTGGTGGGCATGACAGACAGTACTTACCAATCAAATCGCTCTTCGAGACTACACTGCATGTGGCCTCTGGATCATGTTTTCACCGTGGTACCCCAAGCAGCTGCAACCCAGTGATCAGAGAGATAGGTTCCACTGATTGGGAAACAAGCTCAAAAGATTAAGGTGGGGAGGTGCCTTTTATTTTATGTCACTTTTTAATGCATGAAGAACACTGAGACTGGAAATTGGATCTTGACTTTCCAATTTACTTCTTCATTGTAATTTAAAACAAATGTTAAACCATCACAAAATATAACAGAGTATACATATTCCTTTTATCTTCTTGGCTGATATACTGTCCAGATCTTAGGAAAACATGAAAATATGGGTGAAACAAATCAGGAAACAAAGGATAATTTTGTTAAATAACTGTTCTCTTGCTTCTCACATACTGGACTTTAAAGATACTTGCATTACCATCAAATGGCTTGAATAGCCATAATGGTGACTTTTAAATTATGGGCATATGTCTCTCTGCAGCACATAATTTCATTACATTGGTTCCATCTGTCACAGACTTAGACTTCTTCTCCCATTCCTCTACTTTTGCCTATCGGGACTCTGGGCAATTGAAATCACAGGAGGGAAAAGCAGATTTTTTTTTTTTTTTTGCCACATATATTTTTCCCATCTCTGAGGATAAATATTTAATAAATTATCAGACCATGCTTCAAATACAGCACCTGGAATCCTTTTGATCAGGCTATAATGATACAGCTTTTAGGCTATAAAAGATCAGAGATTTATAAGCCTCTTAAAAAGGATTTGCTTATCCCAAACTGATATTTTCAAAGCAGAAAACTAGCTTTCTGTCTTTGCTGTTTTTCTGCTTGATTCATAATCCACTGGGAAATCTCCTTCTCTGGATATCTTAAATAGTATAGCTTTTCATTTTTTTGGAAATAGTTTGGCTATGATCCTTCCAGGAAGTGGAAGGTGTGGAATAGATGAGTTTCTTTTCAATTTTATAATTGAATTTAAAAACACACTGGAAAATCAAGGCAGTGATTTGAGTAAGGTCAAGATGGGAGCTGGGATGGGCATCTCTACTTTCATTTAATTACCTGCAGTAATTCTAATTGCAATAATTTTTTTTTTTTTGCCTCAGTAATCCCGATAGGCATTTCACTTTTTTTCTCTCCCTGTTACAGAGATATAGAATTCATTACAGTGGAGTGCTTTTCTTACACTTCATTTAAGGTCAGATAAACTATGATATATCTTTTGATAAAATGTTAATTTATTTTTTCAAAACTGGTCTTTTTGGGGCTCCTGGGTGGCTCAGTCAGTTAAGTGTTTGCCTTTGGCTCAGGTCATGATCTTGGGGTCCTGGAGTCAAGCCCCCCACACCCCAGTTGGGCTCCATGCTCAACAGGGAGCCTGCTCTCCCTCTACCTCTGCTCCTTCCCCCCCACTCACACATGCTTTCTCTCTCTCTCTGTCAAATAAATAAATAAAACCTTACCAAAAAGGTCTTTTTTTCCTCCTGCTTTTACTGAAGTATAATTGACCAATAAAAATTGTATATATCTATTTATCCAGAGGATACAAACATAGTGATTCAAATGGGTACCTGCACACCAGTTTATAGCAGCAATGTCCACAATAGCCAAAATATGGGAAGAGCCCTAATGTCCATCGACAGATGAGTGGATAAAGAAGATGTGGTGTGTATATATATATATATATACATGTATATACACACACACACACACACACACACACACACACACACACACAATGGAATATTACTCAGCCATCAAAAAGAATGAAATCTTGCCATTTGCAACAATGTGGATGGAACTAGAGGGTATTATACTAAGCAAAATAAATCAGCCAGAGAAAGATAAATATCATATGATTTCACGCATATGTGGAACTTAAGAAACAAAGCAGATGATCATAGGGGAACAGAAGGAAAAATAAAATAAGATGAAATCAGAGAGGGAGACACACCATAAGAGACTCATCCTCTAGGAAACAAACTTGGGGGTTGCTGGAGGGGAGGTAGGGGGTATGGAGTAACTGGGTGAAGGAGGTCACTTGATGTAATGAGTACTGGGTATCATGTGGAACTGATGAATCACTAAACTCTATCTCTGAAACTAATAATATACTATATGCTAATTAAATTTATTTTTAAATTTTAAAAACATTGTATATATTTGAGGTGTTCAATTTGATATATATATCAAATTTGATATATTTGATCAATTTGATATATATCAATTAGATATATATCACATATATATGTGTGTAACATTTTGACATATACAATTTGATATATATCTATCAATTTGACAATTTTATATATATATATATATACACACACACACACACACACACACTGTGAAATCATCACCACAATCAAGCTAATTAACATATCCATCACATCAGGTGAGGTTTTTTTTTTGTTTGTTTTTTTGTTTTTTGCTGTCTTTTTAATTATTTCAGGTT